GCAACTCCATTCAAACTCTCCTTGGTAACCCTAAGGATAAAATTCCATTCTTAGAAAAGTCGGGGATATATGAAATTAGTTGTAATGACTGTAGTAAAAAATATATTGGACAAACTAGACGTTCAATCAAAACCAGATTTAAAGAACATCTAGCTCATGCTAGGTTTGGTAGAGAAGAAAAATCTAGTGTTGCCCAACATATTCTTACTGATGGACATAATATTAATATTAATAACCTTAAGTTAGTTAAAGAAGTTAGGAATAATCGTTTACTAAACAGTTTTGAAAGTTTATACATTTATAAAAATAAACAAATTGTTCTTAACAATGACAACGGTCCCATCCCTGGATCTCCGCTATTTAGTTTAGTTTAATTACGTTTATGATGATGATGTTAAGGTCCATTGAACATCTACCTTGTTGGCTTCGGGTCATGTTCACTGAACCTTAACAACTATCAATATAAATTAGGATTAGTTCTCATTTAGGTTTAGTTTACTTCAGTCCCTGAAGAAGGTAACTTTGTTACCGAAAAGTGCTTCGGACAACTACAGTGTCTTGTTTTGGCGTTTAGGTTTTGAGCTATTCTGTTTGTTCTACAACAACCGCCGAAGTTTTTCCAATCTTCATATTTAGTAATTTAATTTACGTAATATTATTGTTGATGTTAAACAAAGCAATAATTATTACAGAAAGCTCAAGAAGGCATTGGAGGAATCTTCTAAGAAACAATACAAATTGTATTATTACTCATAGAGCAGAAAAATAAAGTTTACAATGAAACATTACAGAATTTTAAGGTAATAATTCAATAGAGAAAAAAATTAGTAATAGTGATTAATAATAATAATAATTCACTTCACTCTAGCAATACTTATCGTAATATGTAAATAGTACCTAGGATACAAACTGTATTTTCGATAACAACAACCACCCACAAAAAGATTTAGAATAATCAGTAGCTACAATCGCCGCTGTAACGACTGATGGAATAATTATTGAATATATATTTTTTGTAGTTTCTTTAGATAGTCTATTATATTTTCACTAATCCTTTTTTATCTAATTAGAGAAGTAATTTGTATTAAAAATTCTACCTTTTACTTTTGTCAGTNCAAAAAAAAAAAAAAAAAAAGAAAAAAGACAATAGACCCAACCAAGAGTGCGCCATTTTAATGAATTTATAGTGATACTAAAAGCATTTTACTCATATTCTCAGCATATTTTTAAAACTATTGAGTATTGGATTGGTTTCTCATTGACACTGTAAGCATATATACTCATATACAATGTGTTATATACCAAAAATTCAGGCGGACGATGTTATGGGTCTCTTGATTAGGCATTTCTTTTTAGTTTTAGTTGTAATTGTTTTACGTTTCTTTTTACTAATACAAATAAGGCAGTGATGCAATGCGCTTTCCGAAAGTTCCACGTATACATCTCTCTTTAATTAAGCATATAATTATATAGTTAATATTTACCTTCAAATGATATAATGTCACACCAGTACTGAGTGGATCATCGTCGATAGCAACTAAATGAGGTCTATCAGAATCCAAAACAACCCCGGGCCCTGCTTTTCGTAAGCCAAGGGCTGTTTGCTCTCTTAAAATAGCTTGTGCTTCCCTCCATTTGCTAGTCCATTCCTCTGTGAGTTCCTGTAAGTTTTGGTACAATAGATTATATATATAATATTAGAATCATACTTTTTATAAGATTGATAATGTTAAACAACTAAATGTGATACAGGATTTACGAAAATTTTTATTGAATATTTCGATTATGTATTACAATTAGACTTAAAAACTTAAAACGTTCATTAAACGAAAAAACTACAACACATTTCTGTAAAAAGAATTTTTCGTCGATACTACAATATAATTTTTTTAAGCATCGTTAGCATTTTCTTATCACCACTTTAGAGGTAATTATAAACAGCAGAAGGTATTACAATTACTAGTCGTTACTGTGTTACCTGTTAGACGTTATGTATTAACACACTCAATCGTTAGTTTTGTGAATAATAAGGCCATAGTCCATAGTGCTTACGGGTGACGTCAGTATTAGTCAACCGAGCGATCTTGCCGATCCAGCTGGCAGCATAGCGACGTAGATTAAATAACAGACCCAGGCGAGTATAATAATTTAAATATCGTTACGTTTTCATCGTCTACAATTTTGAACCAGTTAATGAGCAAATTATACGAACTGAAAACAGTCAGAAATCGTTCATACGGGCAATAGGTGAAAAACTTTTCATACGCTTTAAAATCAATTTTCCCGTTTAATATTGTTTAATTTTTCGCCTCTACTTAATCGCGAGTGAATATTTGTTGACGGATAATCAGGACAATTCGGAAATAATGTAGATACTACTCCCGGCTTCAATTTAGGGTATTTCAAATTTATTGCAACAATTTGGAATCCTTAGCAGTTGAAACGCGGAGGACACTATCTTTCACAAAATGTAATTCACAAACTTTTCTGGATTTTGTAATAGTTAGATTTTTGGGAGGAATGGTGCGAATTCACCTGCTACTTTTGGGCCTTTATCATAATTGCCCCGACATCCCGGAACACAACACCTATGAAGTATTGTAACACTATCACTATCAGACAAGAATATCCAAAAACATCAGATAATACACGTTGAAAAGCAATTCACAAAATGCAAACTGCTTAGGTATGCGTAATATGACGTAACAATGGTTCACTACTTAAGCAACAAGTGCATTTCTTATGTATGATAGATATGCATGTTAAGAAAAATTAGTCGTCGCGCTGGTCCACATCTACTGACGTCACAGGCTACTTCTATACAGCTTTTTGGCCTTATTAGTCACGAAGGTAACGACTCAATCCAGTGAATTGCCATTAGCCTTTATTTTAATATAGTTGTAGACATTAAGTGAAGTTAAAGTAATTACATACCTTTTCTCTAGCTTCTTTTTCGTGAATTTTAGCTAGCATATCGGAACGATGTTCATTAAACATCAAAGCCCGTAGTTTTGATATCTCTTCTCTTAATTCTCTAATCAATTTTACATTTGGATCTTCGTTGATAGTGGGTTTATTGATAATGTTTTTAGCACGGTTTGCATACCTGAGAGTACTTAATGATTCAGCATAGTTACAATCTAAAAATGAATAATTTAAGATATTTTTAAATCAATATTAATAATAAACTTCCATTCATCAACAACACTATCTTTAACCCTAAGGAAATGCGAACAGAAAAACAATCGTCAGTTAATTGTAGTGACTCTTAAATCTGTAGTTATTTAATTAAAAATTAGACATCGACGTATGGAGGATTGGAAATTAATAGGGACTTACAAACAATACTAAATCCTATGTGGAATGGAGATTACGAACTTTTGGAAGAATGGAAAACAGAAATAATAGCCAATTTAGAAAAAAGGAGACAGAAATAAAGAAGAACATTACAGAGGAATTACACTCATGAGCACAGGCTACAAAATCTACGCCGCAATATTTAGCAAAAAACTTGAGAAATAATTAGAAGACAGAAAGGTACTAGGAGAAACGCAGATGGGATACAGAGAAAACAAAGGCGCTATTGATGCAATCTACACAATAAAAACAGCGTATGAAGAAAAAATAAAGAAAAAAAAGGCGAAATATTTCTCTTTTTTGCGGACATGAAAGGGGCAAACTCAAATCTTAGAACAACTACAAATACATAGCAAATTAAGAGAGAAGATAAGAGAAACGTTGGAAGAAAATTACTTTAAAATGTCAACGGCGAAAAATCCAAAAAGATTAGCAATGAGAAAGGGAATAAGACATGGTTAACCATTGACCACCGCACATTAATATATCATTTTTGCAGATTTAGAAAGCAAATTTAGTGCAGTACAAAAACGGACAATAGTAGTTGATAGAAGATAGTATTTACGAACAACAAAAAAACAATGAAAGAAATACTTCAAAAATTTATTAAACATATAAAAGAGGACTGGAATTAAATACAGATAAGTTATGTTTGAAGTGGAAAGAATGGATGGTCTAAAAAGGATGTTGTGAACATTACCTTTTTAATTCGTTTTCAATTAATTTTTATGTTGAACATTTCATTGAAATCAAATTTCTAGAAATAATAACTAAATGTTTTTTCGTTAGCAGACATTTTAGAAATTTGACTTTCAAAAATGAGTAAAACAAAAATAAATTAAAGACAAATTAACAAAAAAGTGCCCACAACATTCAGTCCCCGACCTCATGATTACTAAACCACATCGTTGTGTTCCTAGCTACACGGCTCGCTTATTATTAGAGGAAATTGAGGCTCCCAAAAATGCTACATCGGACGAGAAATCTGATGCTTTGTTAAACGGAAAACAGCGATTTCCGTTCTAAAAGAAAAAGATATCAACGACGAAGGACAGGAATGAAACAAAGTGCCCGATCTGCAAGAAAATCGATCACAAGCCTTCCGATTGGTGGTTCAACAAAAAGAACAATAGTCAGGATGAAGAAAAAACGACTGAGTCCAGCAACGTTTCTTTTCATAACGGTGACACTGCGACTCACCTGTCCAGCAACTCAGATAGTTTCCGCCAATTCAACAAAAACTTGAGTGGCACACTGATGCATAGTCAATCGCCAGAAATTCGCTAGCGATCGACTATGCATATTAGCGTGAGTCTCGCGAACGAGTTTTCCACTCGTATCGCCGGAAAAGGGACACTCTCGTTTAACACATGTGTCCGGTGATAAAGTGAACGTGACACTCAACAACTCGTCGCTCGAGAGAAAGTGTCACAAAACATTGATCATGGGTGTGTCTTCAATCATTGTTTTCGAGTTCCGGGTATTATTCAATTCTATGACTAATTTAATAATTTCCAGCGTATAGCCCAGCAAATGTTTCAAGTAGGTCTGATTGAATAAATGCCCGAGTAGCAAGTATCTACCACTTCCACTGTTTTACATTGTTTAGAACGATTTCATAAGATAATTATTTAATAACAAAAATCATCTCCCTTCCCGTATGACTGGTGTTAGAGTCACATTTAATACCAAAATAACCACTAATTTCTAAAAGTGCATCTTCATCTACACCTAACCTAATCTTAACCCTTGTTGAGTCCAATCTCCATATGTAATGAGATGTAAAATCATCTCAAAAAATTTATCATCATCATAAGGTCGTCAGTCCTAGAACTAGTTGGACACGTACCTTCACTCTTTCTTATCACGATGAATTGATTGACACAAATTTGACACTAAAAATACCCTACCCTATATCTTTAGATGTCAAAAAATCGCAAATAAATGAAAAGTAGAATGTCGATTATTAACGTTACTACAGAAACAGACTGATTAAATCAGTTTTTCATGTCAAATTGGTGACTTTCAATTCATATGGGGCCTCTTAGAATTTAGGCCTTTAGTTAATTTTATTCTTTATTAAACGTTTTAAGCGTCAATTTCAGAATATCCTACAATCGGCTATTTCAGTTGCACCAATTTCCTTTTCAAGCCTACCAACACTAGAGCCATAGATACATAGAACTTTATTATATCGTAAAGAGATATTTTAAAATTTTAAATTAACGTATTACTAATTGTGTTTAGACATTGGAAGAAATTTTCATTATAAAAAGATAACTGCGAATCTAATGACAACTGATCATTATAATAATTATGATTTATTTTATGTAAAAATCTTCAAAGCATATCAAAAGAGAGATAAGTATTGTGTTTGATAATTAGCAACATCGCTTAACTAATAATTAGAGATCTGCTAAATGGTTTTTTAAAAGTAAATACTTGTTTGATTTGTTATTTCAAATGCACATACAAAATAGTTTTTCCTTTGTATTTTAAATGTTAAATGCAAAATATGTATTTTCAAAATACATTTTTTAAATAAATGCTTTTCTTAAACACTTTTCTTTATCTGTTTAAGTATAAAAGATTTTTTAAGAAAACTTTTTTATTGTTAGGCATTTGTTTAAATCTGAATTAATATGATCTCTAAAATATTATCTGCTACTAAGAAACATTGAGTACAATTAATTTTTTTTTTGTTTGAAGTGATTGAGATGCAGTTATAATGACACTAAAACATTTAAAACGTTTCGCTGTGACTTGCTGTAGATGACTAATACCAGTCACGATATTTGGAATTGCAAAGTACCATACACAACAGCAAAACAGTCCGGAAAACAATATCAAATCTACAATACTCTAGATCCTCCATTTCCAGGGAGTTCAGAATTTTTGCGTGCTCTTCAGATCAAGGCATCCACAGGATTTCTTTTTGTATCCTTTTAAGCTTCTAATGCCTTGAATAGCAAATGTAAGCAACTTTTATTCATGTTATATAACGTTTGATCGGCGATATTAGCAAAACTTTACAGCAAAAAGGTATTTTACATTTTGCAAATAGAAAATACGACTGGAAAAGTATTGTAATGTTCGTGGGTTTAACAAAATTAACTTGTAAGACTAATAACAACAAAAACTATTTATTTACACTAATTATTAAAGAACTTAAAAACACAGAACGCAGTTACGACACACACATTTAGAAATACGGTGCACTTGAAGAAAGACGTACACCTGTACCCGATCGCATATAAACACATTCGTGTTCGTTACACTGCCCCCTCCTTAAGGATGTTTCGTCCCCAAACATTTTCACTTTCCGTTTCGCAGGATCATGCCGGAATCTGCAGTTCTCGCCTTCACGACATCCGCTCCGGGAATAGAAGTAACAGTCCACGGTCTTCTCATGATTGGTCCGATTTGAGTTATTACGGCAAACCAAAACGTCTACTGCAGTACGGCGGAACAGGACTTCGATCATGTTCCGTACGATCCTTCAATCTAGGTTGTCCAGTCCACAACCAAGCTTCGGAATCGCCAGCTTCTGTAGGTTATTCTCCAGAAGATGTCCGCGGAGTTCCATTACTGCGTCCCAAAGGTCTCTATAAGTTGGGTTATCAGATCATCTTCCTTTAGTTACTAGGTAATAGATATTGCGTCGTCCGTCAGGCAGGCATAACAGCCTTCTTCCCTTCTGTACTTGGTCTTCAAGATGTTCCAAACTGACAAATCTGCGTTTGAACTAGGATGCGATACCACGGCTCATTCTGAGATCCTTTGAAACGCAATGGGACAGAGAATATTTCTTAGATATAGCAAAACGGTCTCGTTGGATTTCTTGCGTCACTCCAAATCTCCTGTTAACATGGGGGGCCTTCCTTTATGAACTCTTCGAATGTGGATTCGGAAGGAATAGTTGTTAATAATCTAACCCGCGCCTCCTCTTCATTTGCACCGGCGAACGGAACCAAGCGATTAAAATGGACTACCTTCGGCTTTCCATTTGGTGTTTTCTTAATTCGGTAGATCACGTCGTTAATCCTCTTCACTATCTCATAGGGTCCTCCCAATTACGTTTGAACTTAGGTGATAGACCACCGCGACGACGAGGATTATACAACCAAACAAGATCTCCAGTTTGGTAACCACCGGCTGTAGCCTTGATATCTTAGTTTTCTTTAATCCTGTTACTAGCAATCTGGGTATGCAGACGACCCGACTCGTGAATATCGTTTAGCTTTCTTCGGAGGTTGGTAACATAATCTTCTCCGGCCAAGTCACCTCCTGGTTTACAGCCGAATTTGAGGTCACAAGGTAGTCGTAACTCCCTTCCGAAAAGGACACTGGCAGGTGTTTGGCCAGTCGTTTCGTTGACTAATGAACGGTATGCCATTAAAAATAAAGGCAAATACCGATCCCAGGCCCTTTGGTGATCAGGCACTACCTTGGAGAGATATTTAATCAAGGTCCGGTTCATTGGCTCAACCATGGCGTCCGATTGTGGATGGAGTGGAGTAGTTCGAGTTTTCTTTATTCCTAGGAGCTCGCACATTCCAGAAATATAGCCGATTCGAAATTTCTCCCTTGGTCTGCGTGCAACTCCAAGGGCACCCCAAAACGACTGATCAACTCTTTCACCAGCTCCTCAACTATGGTTTCTGGTTCGGAAGGGCATAAGCTTCAACTCACGCCCTTCGCTGATACAACATGACTCAAGTAAGAAATTTCTTCGCGGAAAAGGTGGCACTTTTTAGGACAGAGTTTCAAATTGGCCTCACGTAACCGCTGGAATACTGCTCGCAAATTCTGCAGGTGTTCATTAAAGGTGCTTCCAATCACAATGATGTCATCCAAGTATACCAAGCAAGTATTTCCAATTTGATCACTCAATATTTTCTCCATCAACCTTTCGAACGTCGCTGGGGCATTGCATAACCCGAAAGGCATAATTGTAAACTGCCGTAGGCCCGTGCCGATCGAGAATGCGGTCTTTTCTTTGTCGGCAGCATCTAAAGCAACTTGCCAGTATCCGCTCTTCAAATCGAGTGTGGAAAGCATTTTCCAGCCAGGAAGCATGTCCAAGGTGTCATCAATCTATGGTAGTGGATAACTGTCTTTTTTGGTTAGGTTGTTGAGCTGTCGGTAATCCACACAAAAACGGGTTGTCCTATCCTTCTTCTTTACCAGTACTACCGGTGATGTCCATGGACTTGAGGATGGCTCAATTATGCCGGTCTCCTGCATTTCGTGGATTATTCGCTCTGCTTCTTCCTTCTTGGCCAGGGGCAATCGTTTAGGTCTTTGACGAATAGACTGCGCATTACCGGTATTGATCTTGTGTTTTACGATATTGGTTCTTCCCCAATCATTCTTGTCAGTCTCAAAGACGTCGGCATTCTGACAAAGTAAATGTTGCACTTTGCATTTCTGCTCACTGGTTAGATTCCTACAATACCTCTCAATCACTCCACTTATTTCAACAGGTACTGTTTTACCTTTCGGGTTACCGCCTCCTGTCTATCATTGATGAAATAGAATTCTTCGTCATTCAGCCTCAGAACGCGTCTTCTTAAATTCATGTCAAAATGGTAATTTTGTAAAACGTCCAGCCCAAGAATTACGTCATCTTCAATATCTGCCACAAGCACTCGATGGTCAAAGACAGTCTTACCGATTTCAAGTGACACGTTAGCTTCGCCATGAACAACCACCTTTTCTCCGGTAGCCGTACGCAGAATCCACTTAGTTGACACAACCTGGTTAGAACCCTCGACTACGCTGGGTTTTACTATACTCCTAGTAGCCCCAGTGTCCAAAAGAAACAGGCATTTTCGTCCATTTATTTTTCCATCTAGGAGTAGACTGTCATTCTGGTAAATGCGATAAATTCGGGGTCTTTTTGTCCGTGAGTCGTCGTTTGCCTTGTTACGTCGACCCTATCTAGTTTTCCTGCTGTTGACGTCGGGTACTTGGGGAAGGAGTACTTTTCCTACACTGCCTCCTCGTATGTCCTACTTCGCCGCAATTCTAACATCTTAGCTTTTGAGTTTCTTTATCGAACTTGGAGATGATTCGGCAGACGGTTTCTTCTAAAGATTCTAACGAATCCGTTTCTTCTCACAGTAGCCGAACTCTTCCCTGTTTGCTATAGGCCCGTTTAACAGTTTCGTACTCCAGTCATTGTCCCGAAATCCATCAATAAATGCCTTCACTGCCAACCTTTCCATCAAGTCTTCTGGAGTATTAGGATAGGCCAGTCGAGACAGTCTCGCAATATTGGTCTCGAATTCTTGTAGGGATTCCGTTGGTTTCTGCTGACGAGTTTTCACCGCTGTTAAATGAGCCTCGCAGTAGCGCAACTCTAACCGTTTTACCAACTGTTCATAATCACTTAAAGACACTTTTAAATTGTTACTAAACTTAGGTTATGAATTATACTATTTATTTACACTATTGTTGATATATCACTATTCACTGCGCTATTTATTTCACTGTTATCACTGTCAATTTATTTCTGGATTCACTTCTGCAACGGGCAATTTATTTCTCCTCTCTCGGCGATCGTCTCTTTCTTTAAATACTCTTTTGTTTACTTTCGGGAACCTTCTGGAACGTCCGGATAGTTCATTTTTTTGTTTTTTGAACTGTTTAACTGCTTTCCCAGAACGCAGGTAAGGCACACACATTTACAAATATGGACACATGAAGAAAGGCGTCCGCGGCTATTCGGCGAATCGATAAGCCATTCACGCACACGTGTGCCCGATCGTTCACAAACACACTCGTGCTCACTACAGTATCTTGAATAAAATATGATTTTCTCAAAAAAATAGAAGTAGGCATTTTGTACTTACCTTTTAAATGTAAGTATTTCAATTAAATCACAACTCTAGTAATAATTATCTTTTCTTTATGTTTACAAAGCACAAAACTGAAAGAAAAACATTCATACCTGCGGGACTGATTGTTGCGATCATTATTGTTTTAGAATTTCCTCCTAAGCTATCTTTTAATAACCAAGTGAGAACAGAATCTCTGTAAGGTATAAAGAATGAACGACGATAACCGCTTGGTTCCGAGCACAACTCTGCAAGGGATGAAATTACGGAACCTAAAGTGACTAGTGATTTGTTAATATGCGCTCCTTCTTTAAGTCTTTTTCCAGTTGATCCTGTAGCATCAGCTCTTTCACTACCAGCTAAATCTACCAAATGAATCTACAATAAAAAAATCAATAAAATACAATCTGCAGGTTTAGGTATAAGAATGAAGTTTTGATTTCTAAAAGCAGCACAATTTAGTATATTAATTGGGCTTCGATCTTTTTGGCAGTATTTTCTAAAACGCACTGTTAAGACAGCAGGTAAAAGTTGGTCTGTGTTCTGTCGGAGCTGCCTGCGACGCGCTGATGAGATCCAAAAAGATCGAAATCGCGATCCGCGTCTGGCAGTTTCGACAGAATACAGACCACTTCGAATTATTTTATTCGATTAAGCTAACGTGCCTATCACGTTGAGGTTGGCTACGCCGGGATTCGTTTTCAGCAAGTAGATATCCACACAAGTGGACCTTGTTGGAGCATACGTAATCCTAAAATGTAGCATCGTGCTACAGATGGCGTTTACTGCGCCATTTGTAGTATTTTCTAAAACGCACTGTTAAGACAGCAGGTAAAAGTTGGTCTGTGTTCTGTCGGAGCTGCCTGCGACGCGCTGATGAGATCCAAAAAGATCGAAATCGCGATGCGCGTCTGGCAGTTTCGACAGAATACAGACACTTCGAATTATTTTATTCGATTAATCTAACGTGCCTATCACGCTGAGGTTAGCTACGCCGGGATTCGTTTTCAGCAAGTAGATATCCACACAAGTGAACCTTGTTGGAGCATACGTAATCCTAAAATGTAGAATCGTGCTACAGATGGCGTTTACTGCGCCATTTGTAGTATTTTCTAATTCAAAGAAATGTTGTTTGTCTCTGTACCTACTAATCTTCAAAACCACTCTGCATGCTTTATCAAAAATGTGATGCTTAGTAATCTTACATAACAGCAAAATTAATATAATTTGTCAAAAATCAGCTGCATAAATATATTTCTTTTACTTTTCATTACCTATATAAATCAAACTTTTATTTTAATGAATTTAGACTCAAAGGTCTATGTATAGTCTTATTAAAGAAAGCTAGAAACGTGTACGTTGCTGTAATTGAAAAATGTTTAATACAGACTATAAAACCTTTTGGTGTTTCATAAATTTGAATCAACGTGTACCGTCAATACCACCTATACTATCAATGCCAGGTCTCTCTGACGTCAATGGGCTAATTAATCAACATAAAAAGGCGGATAATCAGTTGATTGCACTCGTTTGTATACATTTATTAGCTAAAGCTTTCTCCCAGTTTTAGCTCATTTAATTGAGTTTTACCTGGCCTGTACTTGATCATAGCTTATACAAATCGTATTAAGAAAATTGTTCTGGCGTTTTACCTATATTCGAACATTTAAACGGGTAAAATTGCGATAGCTTCGTTGTGTATACCGAATTGGAAAGTGCTTTGTAACTTTTTTATTTTATATTTTTCTTCAGTTTATGTGAATAGATATTAGAGCTTCTTTTTGTAAAAATGCATAATAAGTGTTGCGTTCCGGAGTATACAGTACTGAAAGTAGGGAATATGTGTTTAGTTTTCCCAAAGATGGTAATTTTAAATCTATGGTTGCATAAAGATATTTTAAAATTCTGAGACCATATTTAAAATGTGCTTTTTCAAAACAATTTTGGCAACGACTTAAATAATTTACACTAAACGCTATGTCAGGTCTGATACCTATCCTTATAATTACATATATCATAAAAATTCATGAATAAGATTTCTATATTTTAATTTCGCACTTGTTATTTCAGCAGGTTCTAATTTTAGATTCATTTGGAAAGGTGTTTTATATAATTTTACCTCTTCTAAGTTATACTTAATAGCTAAAAACTTTTATGCATTCCTTTTGACTTAGTGTCAATTTATTGTTTTTAATATCATATGCAATGTGTATTCTTATATATTTCTCTCCGTTTAAAGCGCTTAGACAATTTAAAATTGCTTTTTGACTTTTATAGGTAGGAGGTCATCCACAAAAAATAGAATGTAAATATATATATACATCATTGTTGCATTTTACATACAAACAGTAGTTGCATTTACTTCTAACAAATTTCAGCTGCAACAGGATTTCATTAAAATATACATACTACTTGGCCGTTAAAGCCTTTAGGTTGATTTACATAAAATTCTGAAGTTAATTAATTGAGCACGTTAATTAACTTAAGTTTTGGGCTTTGGAGTCCTGATTGTTCGTCTCAATCCTGATTCGCTATTGTTGTTTATATCAGTGGTATTTGGTAAAACTTCTTCATTGTCTCTGGTATTTTGGATGTTCTGATCTTGATAAGTCTCATTTGAAATGTCTCATTTTCAATATCTTCATCACCGAAGCATATACACTACATTTTCTGCACTCTGTTGCTCGATAATATTTATAGCAAGTATCTGTATAACCCAATAAAATTTCACGATTTGCTTCATTATTCCATTTAGATTTTCTTAACTTATGTAGCATTTGTACAAGGACTCTATTGCCATATAATATTTTACATTTGGTTTTTCTTTAAAAAATATTTCATACGGGATTTTGGTTTCAACAGTGTTTCCGAGTGATTTATTATGAAGATGCTCATAACCAATCTAATAAATCTTTCTGCGACTCCATTTAATCCATGTACATATAGCGAACAACGACTTATTTGTATACTCCTTCCTCTAGAAAACTGAAATGCATTTGTATTAAAATGTTTTCAGCTGTTGTCGCATTTTAAAATTTTATTTTTTTACCATTTAGATTTTCTGCTTGATTTACATAATCAATAAAACAGTCAAGCGCATCAGATTTGGACGTAATGCAATATATTTTAGCCAAGTTGTTACAGTCGTCAATAAATGCTGGGAAAAACTTTTTACTTTTAAGAGAATTGCAAGTAGTTCATTATTTTTGTTATAAATTTTGGAGGTATTGCCTTTTGATGCTATTGTATTTTTATTAGTGTCTTTAGAATAACTCATCAAATTTTGTTTCACATCTTTGACAATTTTGGTCGCATTTAACTTTCTGTCATCACCTAACCTTACATTGATTGGTTTCTTTAGGTCAATAGATTCAGTAAAATGGTTATCTTCGTTTATATATCACGTCGAATTTACTTTAATAATAAACGAATTTTCGCTAAAGTTTACTACACTATGCTGATCTTGATTCGATGTGTTATCAGCGCCACTGCTGCTACCTATGTATCTTCCTTATTGGAGTCCACGACCAAGTGACCAGCTTCGCTGTTTACCACCACGTCCTCATTGTGTATTTGAGTTGTACTGACGACAGTTCTTGAAATGTCCTGATTTACCATACTGAAAGCACTTTCCTCGAGCATTGGGTATAAATGCATTAGTCTTCATAAAAACCTCTTCCAGTTTATCTCAACAGCTTCTTTTCAATGCATTTCAACTTAATTTTACTTTTCAAATGTTCTACAGTTCTGTCCGTTTCCGATAAAACATCTATTAAATACCCTATATGACTAAAATTCGGTTGCAACACCTTTAGCATGTATAGCAATTTGAATTCCACGCTCGTTTACTTTACTTTATTTTTTCGACAATTCTGGGAACATACCGTACCATTGGTACAAAATACGACTTCAACAGTATACAAGTTGTTTTATTTAAAACATAGATCATCATTGGCTTCACCCTGTACCCAGAAACAAAAGTTCTGCCCTAGGTTAAGATTACCCATAGTCGTAGATAGGTAGAGGAAAGGGAGAGCACTGCCTCCCCCCTGGAAAAATCTCTGACGAGCCATGATATCGATATAAAGTTTAAAACCATAAAAACACATTAAACCGCGACGCCCATGGAATCACTCTGTTTTATTCTGCAAACATACGTAATGAGGCTTAAAGGGTCTCAACTTATGTTCTCTGAGAACCCTCTGCATAAGTGATTCGGCTTAAGTTCGTATTTCAGGCCAGTGACGTGTTGATGTATGAGGTTTCATTTGAATATGTAGTAACTATATATGTAATACTCCTATCCAGCTTCTATAAGTGGAAGCTGTTCCAACAAAGTAAAACAGATGGTATCTCGTATTCCATCTTCTGAAATTCCGCATCTTTTGTGAGCAAGCAGCTGCATACTGCTGTTACATTAAAAGATTTCTCAAGCATGCAGTATGAATAAGGTGTCTCCGAGGAGAGAGAGAATAAACATAGTAGGCACCTTAATGGTAGAGCATTCTTTCTTATACCAACTGGTCCTGTAGGGGTTTTACACATACGATTAATCTATTCAGAATTTTATGCATAGCTCCATATTTTGACATTCTAAACAACTTTCCCCTATAACATTTTTCGGCTGGACCCATATTTCACAGGGCTGTCATTTAAACGAAACCTTTTTTCTATTTTTGAACATACTGTAAAGTAAATCGAAGTTATATTCTACATACAATCTTGTATTAAAACAGAGAACAAGTTTTGATTGAACATTTGCGAACTTTTCGGGTCATTCGAATCGAACAAAAAACATTTCAATTTCGCCATAATTTTTTTCATAATCCCTTTGACATATTGGACGATTTTAGTGTTATTGACCTTGGTATATTAGAGCTTTTGGAGGACGTAATAACCAAGAAATAAAAATAGTAATCAACGAAATAACAACAGCAGTAGACTTGTAATGGTTAAATAACTAGTATTTGGTGGATGTATGCCCCATATTTTGGCATTCTGAACAATAGCTATAACGTTTCTTAATTGGACCAATATTTCATAAGGCGTGGAAGTCCGACTTGAAGACAGTCTGGAAACCACACGGGTCCTGAGTGCATTGTTCATTGCAGTGATGATTCCGGTCGTGGCTACGCAATTGGAAGTTCCGGTAAGTATGTCAGTTCCGATCTGGCTGGTGCTTCTTGGTGGACCGCAGAATACACGACTTTGATAGTTCTCTCTTCGTCGTTGTCGTCTAAGTGGGCTACGATGTATGCCGGTTTTAGTCTGCTTATCAAGACTGATATTTTGTCCAAAAAAATAGACGACGAATGTCTGCTCCGTGCGAGAAACAACCTTGTATGGACCCTCGTATGGTTTATTGAAGTAGTCCATCG